AAATAAATAGCTTATATTTTTATATGGAATTCCAGGATATATAAGCAATTTCGCTATTCATATATATTTCATGCAAAAACAAAAACCCACGTGAGCATTAAAATTATAACCTTTCAGTTCTTTGGAAAAAACACAGGCTGACAGAAATGCTCAAAAGTGTGTTAATGTGTCACTCTGTGGTATGCACCTTTCATTTAACTCTGTGAGAAGGGGTCATGAACATGTCCTTTAGCTCGTTTGGTTAAATTAATTCATCATGCTTCTAAACTATCAGTTAAGAAATTATACATTAACCCATTGGACAGCGCGCAGCACCCAGATGCGCAGAGAAACCATCTACCTCTCCATCCCAAAGCAATAAAACCGTGCACTAGTACAATCACGCCTCTTAAGGTGAACAAACCACGCGCACTGCCTTCTGCTCGAGCACTCGCTCATTACGCAACTGCGATACAACAGTAGGACGCGTCACGTCATCAATGTGACAGCTTCACACCGAATCAGGTTGCCGCTGCGCTCTGGAGAGAGTGTCAAAGCAATTCGAATGAAGTTTTGCGCACTTGCTTCTCTGGGTCTTTGGAGAGCTCGCACCTACCCGAGTCATCCTGCCCCAAAAACTGGTAAGTGCTTCAGATTATTTAATATTCACCTGTTCATTTAAACATTTTATAACTTGTGAATGCTCATGGTGAGCTGGCTTTACGCGCACCTGTGAATTTGAGTTTTATTGGGTCTCCGAGTGCCATGCGCGAACATCTTGATGTTTAGAGGTGTCTGATACATTGACAGTTATTTGACATGCATAATTAGTACACAAAAGCAATGACAGCGCCAATGATAAGCCATTAAAAGGAGCGCAGGTTTTTGCAGTCAGTGCAACACGTGGGTACTGTGGGGCATAAACATGGATGTCAGTTTCAATAAATGATTGTCTGATAACGCGAGGTTTTGCAATTTTTGCAGTTGCACGTTTTCGTCAATATAACATCCTTTTCCATTCATTTATTGTGACAGAATAATTTGTCATTTCTATTGTTTAATTATATATATATTTTTAAAGAAATTAAACTGGATTAATCAGTTATTAAGCACGTATTAAATAAAAAGATAGGCTATTAAAAAAAAATGCAAAGAACTTTTCACTGCAAGCTTTGGCACCACTTCTATGTTGCGATATAAAGAGTGTAAAAACTATTAGCATAACATATGTTGCAGCAGCGTGTTCAAACAACAGTTTAGCAACCACAGAAGTGAAATGAGTAGTTAGTCGAAGCGCACGTTAGATTGAGTAACCATAGCAACAGCAGTGCCGTCGCTCGAGAGCTTTCCGCTAGCATCCGTACTGGTGCGTGGACAAAACAAAAATACTCTCACTGTTTACCATTTACGAAACATGTTATATCGCAGGTAATAACACAAAAGTTATTTCAAAAGTTCAGATAGTTGACGTTTAGGTCCTCGGGACGCCAAAAGACAAACTGATTGCGCAAGACGAACTTGAGAAAATGACAGAAAGTCCCTTAAAATGTCAATAGCCATAAAGCGATACGTTGAATAGCTATAATTGATATTTAATTTATTTTTGTAATGATTATTATTAAGTGTTCAGTTCCTAAAGGAAACGTTTTTTTCGACAATTCATGTCGAAATGCCTAGTTTGAATTACATTTTTGGTGTTTGAGTCCATTTTTAACGTGGTCTTGACATGCTTAAATACTCCATTTTTTTCATTCAAAATAATAAAATGTTAAATAACTGTCTCGCCCTGTTATGATGGGATTTGTAGAGCACCATGCTGTCCTGCCAAGACCGGAGCTTTGCAGGAGGGCAGCGCTACGACTTCTCCGCCTCGACGTCAGTTGACTGTACTGTTGACGTTTCCACAGCAACGCTGGTCTCCCTCTGGGACGCCGGTCCCCTGGACAACGCTGCCCGCCAGCACGAGCCGCCGCGGCGGGGTAAGTCCTGCAATATGCCGGGATCAGCGGCGCGAGAGGCTTCCCGCCTCGACAAACTGGAATTTTTCCATCTGGGATTTTTTTCTTCACGTTTTGTTAGAGTAGCAATGGACTGTGGAGTATCTGGCCACCTCC